TCGGGGCGCATGGCCGTTTTCTGCCCGCCGCGCGCTCGGGGCGCGCGGCGGTTTTTTGCCTCACGCGTCACCCCGAGGACCCGCGGGTCCCTCCCCGTCGACCGTCGTGTCACCCCGGGGACCCGCGCGTCCCTCCTCGTCGACCGTCGCACCGCCCCCGGAGAGCCGCGCGTCCCCCCCATCGACCCTCGCGTCGCCTTTGGGGACCCGCGCGCGCCCCCCGCGATCCCGTTGCGTCGCCCTAGGGACCCGCGCGCGGCCCCTGCCATCCCGGCGCGCCACCCCGTGGGACCCGTGCGCCGCTTCGTGGACCCGCGTGTCGCCCTGCGGCCCCCCTCCCCGCACACCTGAGTTCGCTTACCGCACACCCGACTTCGCTTCCCGCATGCTTGTGCACGCTTCGCGCTCACCTGAGCTCGCTTACCGCACACTCAGGCTATGGGGGTGACGGGTATGGGGGTGGCGGGTGTGTGAGCCGTCCCCTGCTCCTCCTCCTCCTCCGTCTCCCACTGCTGAAGCTGCCGCTGAGGGGAGTGGGTGTGTGGGAGCCGAGGGAGTGGTGCTAGGGGGGTGACATGGGAGTGGAGCTAGGGGTGCAGCAAGGAGTGTGTGAATGGGAATTTTGGGACGATGGGGGAGGTCGAAGCGGGGTGGCCGCCGTGAAGCCAGCAGCTCCAGTCGCCCGTGAGACCGTTGCACCAGTCGCTTGTGAGCCCGTTGCTCCAGTCGCCCGTGAGCCCGTTGCTCCAGTCGCCCGTGAGCCCGTTGCTCCAGTCGCCTGTGAGTCAGTTGCTCCTACCGCTCGTCTAGTCGCGGAGCCAGTTGCTCCAGTTGCCGGTGTGCCAGTTGCTCCAGTTGCTGGTGTGCCAGTTGCTCCAGTTGCCCGTGTGCCAGTTGCTCCAGTTGCGCCGTGTGCCAGCAGCTTCAGCTGCCGCCCACCACTTCCTCTCCTCTCATAGTCCCTCCTCACTTGCCCACTGTGATAGCCTCTAGCTTTGCTTATATTTGTGAACTATGAATTGCTGCTTGTTGTGCTGATCATCCCCCACTTTGACTATGGGGGTGTGTCAGAATATTATGCTTGTCTAGTCTGTAGTGCGGTACTCAATAGTGAGTAGAACCCTTTTGGGCTTGCTATTTGTATCCCTCTCCTTTCTAGTTCAAACCTCTTTTGCCTATTCTCTCTTGCCTAGCTAGCTAAACCATAGCAATGGCTCCTTCATTCTAACTACTATTTTGACATGCTATCAGAGCAAGTACGCTCCTGGCCTGTGGGCCCACCTGCTTCCGCTGCTATCCTGTCTATCGCGCGCCCCGTGGCGTGCGACGTTTATTGTCTTCCCGCCACGTGCTCGGGGCGCATGGCGGTTTTCTGCCCGCCGCGCGCTCGGGGCGCGCGGCGGTTTTTTGCCTCACGCGTCACCCCGAGGACCCGCGGGTCCCTCCCCGTCGACCGTCGTGTCACCCCGGGGACCCGCGCGTCCCTCCTCGTCGACCGTCGCACCGCCCCCGGAGAGCCGCGCGTCCCCCCCGTCGACCCTCGCGTCGCCTTTGGGGACCCGCGCGCGCCCCCCGCGATCCCGTTGCGTCGCCCTAGGGACCCGCGCGCGGCCCCTGCCATCCCGGCGCGCCACCCCGTGGGACCCGTGCGCCGCTTCGTGGACCCGCGTGTCGCCCTGCGGCCCCCCTCCCCGCACACCTGAGTTCGCTTACCGCACACCCGAGTTCGCTTCCCGCATGCTTGTGCACGCTTCGCGCTCACCTGAGCTCGCTTACCGCACACTCAGGCTATGGGGGTGACGGGTATGGGGGTGGCGGGTGTGTGAGCCGTCCCCTGCTCCTCCTCCTCCTCCGTCTCCCACTACTGCAGCTGCCGCTGAGGGGAGTGGGTGTGTGGGAGCCGAGGGAGTGGTGCTAGGGGGGTGACATGGGAGTGGAGCTAGGGGTGCAGCAAGGAGTGTGTGAATGGGAATTTTGGGACGATGGGGGAGGTCGAAGCGGGGTGGCCGCCGTGAAGCCAGCAGCTCCAGTCGCCCGTGAGACCGTTGCACCAGTCGCTTGTGAGCCCGTTGCTCCAGTCGCCCGTGAGCCCGTTGCTCCAGTCGCCCGTGAGCCCGTTGCTCCAGTCGCCTGTGAGTCAGTTGCTCCTACCGCTCGTCTAGTCGCGGAGCCAGTTACTCCAATTGCCCGTGTGCCAGTTGCTCCAGTTGCCGGTGTGCCAGTTGCTCCAGTTGCCCGTGTGCCAGTTGCTCCAGTTGCGCCGTGTGCCAGCAGCTTCAGCTGCCGCCCACCACTTCCTCTCCTCTCATAGTCCCTCCTCACTTGCCCACTGTGATAGCCTCTAGCTTTGCTTATATTTGTGAACTATGAATTGCTGCTTGTTGTGCTGATCATCCCCCACTTTGACTATGGGGGTGTGTCAGAATATTATGCTTGTCTAGTCTGTAGTGCGGTACTCAATAGTGAGTAGAACCCTTTTGGGCTTGCTATTTGTATCCCTCTCCTTTCTAGTTCAAACCTCTTTTGCCTATTCTCTCTTGCCTAGCTAGCTAAACCATAGCAATGGCTCCTTCATTCTAACTACTATTTTGACATGCTATCAGAGCAAGTACGCTCCTGGCCTGTGGGCCCACCTGCTTCCGCTGCTATCCTGTCTATCGCGCGCCCCGTGGCGTGCGACGTTTATTGTCTTCCCGCCACGTGCTCGGGGCGCATGGCGGTTTTCTGCCCGCCGCGCGCTCGGGGCGCGCGGCGGTTTTTTGCCTCACGCGTCACCCCGAGGACCCGCGGGTCCCTCCCCGTCGACCGTCGTGTCACCCCGGGGACCCGCGCGTCCCTCCTCGTCGACCGTCGCACCGCCCCCGGAGAGCCGCGCGTCCCCCCCGTCGACCCTCGCGTCGCCTTTGGGGACCCGCGCGCGCCCCCCGCGATCCCGTTGCGTCGCCCTAGGGACCCGCGCGCGGCCCCTGCCATCCCGGCGCGCCACCCCGTGGGACCCGTGCGCCGCTTCGTGGACCCGCGTGTCGCCCTGCGGCCCCCCTCCCCGCACACCTGAGTTCGCTTACCGCACACCCGAGTTCGCTTCCCGCATGCTTGTGCACGCTTCGCGCTCACCTGAGCTCGCTTACCGCACACTCAGGCTATGGGGGTGACGGGTATGGGGGTGGCGGGTGTGTGAGCCGTCCTCTGCTCCTCCTCCTCCTCCGTCTCCCACTACTGCAGCTGCCGCTGAGGGGAGTGGGTGTGTGGGAGCCGAGGGAGTGGTGCTAGGGGGGTGACATGGGAGTGGAGCTAGGGGTGCAGCAAGGAGTGTGTGAATGGGAATTTTGGGACGATGGGGGAGGTCGAAGCGGGGTGGCCGCCGTGAAGCCAGCAGCTCCAGTCGCCCGTGAGACCGTTGCACCAGTCGCTTGTGAGCCCGTTGCTCCAGTCGCCCGTGAGCCCGTTGCTCCAGTCGCCCGTGAGCCCGTTGCTCCAGTCGCCTGTGAGTCAGTTGCTCCTGCCGCTCGTCTAGTCGCGGAGCCAGTTACTCCAGTTGCCCGTGTGCCAGTTGCTCCAGTTGCCGGTGTGCCAGTTGCTCCAGTTGCCCGTGTGCCAGTTGCTCCAGTTGCGCCGTGTGCCAACAGCTTCAGCTGCCGCCCACCACTTCCTCTCCTCTCATAGTCCCTCCTCACTTGCCCACTGTGATAGCCTCTAGCTTTGCTTATATTTGTGAACTATGAATTGCTGCTTGTTGTGCTGATCATCCCCCACTTTGACTATGGGGGTGTGTCAGAATATTATGCTTGTCTAGTCTGTAGTGCGGTACTCAATAGTGAGTAGAACCCTTTTGGGCTTGCTATTTGTATCCCTCTCCTTTCTAGTTCAAACCTCTTTTGCCTATTCTCTCTTGCCTAGCTAGCTAATCCCTGGCTATGGCTCCTTCGTTCTAACTACTATTTTGACACACTCTGCCTCACCTGCTAGTTGCTTGGCTTGCTCTTGTTGTACACTGGTATATGTCTTTATACCTGCTTGTTTACTCTTGCTAGGTTATGATAAGTTTACTGCCTTGCTATTATAACTTTGCATGTGAACTGACCTTGTGGCGGCTTGACTGGTCTTGTGACCGCCTGTTGTGTTTGCTCTCTCCCACTTAGCCTATGGGGGTGTGTCAAACTATATGTTTGTGTTCTCTCTAGGCTATAGTGGGTTAGCCTACAAGGGGTACAATACTTCAGGGTTAGTACTTGTACCCAACTCATTCATAGTTCATTCATTCCTGCACAGTTGATTCTGACAGCTTTTCTGAACGAGGAACACCCATAGCAGCGCAAGGATGAGAGACAGAGAAAGAGTCACTACGGAACAAGAAGACATGGAGGGATACGTGCGAGAGGGGAGCTCAGGAAGTAAGGTAGCAAGAGACCAACGGTAGTACAGTAGTAATATGAGAGTTCTACAACACTTTCTTAGGGAGAATTGAAGTGCTTCTGGAAAAAGACACAACATTCTCATTCTATTACAGTAGAATACATTGAAGGGGCATTGAAGAAATGCATTCCCTTTTCTTCTATGGAACAATACTGGTGTACAAGATTTGGTAACCATACGGTACTACTGGTACAGTTTTGACTTCATTGTCTTCGACAGTTGTCAGTCGTCCGCGTGAATTATCGTTCGCATCAGAACACAGAATGCTACAATATGTCCTATATCGCACCATTGACGATGGCAAAACTGCTGCCCACGGGAAAGATTGAAGAAAAGGGATAAGAAATGCAAACAGGGGAAAAAGATGAGTGAACAAAACAACAGGCTGGGATGATGTTTACTGAAGATGATGAATGCTGGTGGATGGGGAGAGAGCAAGGCCACAGTTTGGATGGCACTACATGGATTGAGATGGCATGAGATGCGGCTTGCAGGCTGCAAGGGGTTAGGGAGAAACCTAGACAAGAACAGAGTACGAACCATGTCAAGAAGTGAGTAGCGATCACTAGCTCACCACTCTTTGCGATTCAACCACCCCATCGTCTAGCCAGCCCTCCTCGGCGCATGCATCTCTTCTTCTTCAACACGTATCCCTGCTTGCAGCGGCACACAGAGTCGCCTCCCACCACCACACACCCAGCCTTGGCTTTGCATGCAGGATTGCACACGGCTACAAGGGGGACAAGCGGATCAGGGTTTTGAGGAACCGGCAGAGGACATGAGGGAGGGGAAGAGGCTGAATGCTGAGACATGAGAACACAAAACACGCGGGTTGAGACATGTTATCAAAACATGCAACGGACATCGGCGTACAAGCGCAAGAGGGGGAATGGATGTGCAGAGCCAAGAATATTGTGTATGGCAAGGAAGCGGTGAACAGGTAGCGAGTCGAGCGTGAATGCATAATGGCATGGAATGGGCGAGAACCAGAATGCAATCTAGTGTGGTTGCAGTTGCAACGAAACAGAGATGGAAGTGAGAGGAAAGCGAGAGGCCAAGAGTACGACAACTTAAGACAAGCCACGGTGGGAGTAAAGCAAATCAAGGGCATGTGTGACACAAGGGTATAACACCCTCACCTCTTCCCTGGCACTCACCCTTGCACTGGCTGTTGCTCAGCAAGGTGTAGCCAGCGTTGCACTGGCACACGCCAATCCCATTCTCCACCTGGCAGGTGGTCTCCGCAGAGCATGGCGGGCTGCATGCGGCTGTCACAGTGTGGGCACAGGGCGAGATGAAAGCAAAAAAGAACGTCATTGACATTGGGTGATGGAGAAAGGAAGGAGGGATTGAAACAAACAACCTGTCACATGTAGGCCATACAGGCCCCTTTTCTAACCAAGACAAAGTCTGAAGGACATGCAATACGAGAGGAACGTGAGGGAAAGTGACTTACTGATGAGAGACACGAAGTAAGAAGGGGATATTGCTTCACCCCTGGCCACTTCACCCCCAGGCACTCACGCGTGCACTCGCCGTTGTCCAGCATGGTGTAGCCGGCATCGCACTCGCACACCGCCGTGCCATTGGCCACTTGGCAGGAGGCGTAGAGGGAGCATGCCGGGCTGCACACGGCTGTCACAGGGCGGGTGGGTGGGATGAGAGGGGCGAGAGGCACGTTGGGAGGTACGTCTGAATGGAATGGTGGTGTCAGGGCAAGAGATATTACCCATAGAAAATAGAAATGACAAACATGTGAGTTGTGAGAATGAGCTGTGCGTGAGGCGACATGACTTGGTGTGATGAGAGGTGGGTTGAGGGTGGGTGAGTTGAAGTGAGGTGATGTGAGTTGAAGTGAGGTGAGGTGAGTTGAAGTGAGGTTATGTGAGTTGAAGTGAGGTGATGTGAGTTGAAGTGAGGTGAGGTGAGTCGAAGCGAGGTGAGGTGAGTCGAAGTGAGGTGAGGTGAGTTGAAGTGAGGTGAGGTGAGTTGAAGTGAGGTTATGTGAGTTGAAGTGAGGTGATGTGAGTTGAAGTGAGGTGATGTGAGTTGAAGTGAGGTGATGTGAGTTGAAGTGAGGTGAGGTGAGTTGAAGTGAGGTGATGTGAGTTGAAGTGAGGTGATGTGAGTTGAAGTGAGGTGAGGCGAGTTGAAGTGGGGTGCGGTGAGTTGAAGTGAGGTGATGTGAGTTGAGGTGAGGTGATGTGTGTTGAAGTGAGGTGATGTGAGTTGAAGTGAGGTGCGGTGAGTTGAAGTGAGGTGAGGTGAGTTGAAATGAGGTGAGGTGAGTTGAAGTGAGGTGAGGTGAGTTGAAGTGAGGTGAGGTGAGTTGAAGTGAGGTGAGGTGAGTTGAAGTGAGGTGAGGTGAGTTGAAGTGAGCTGATGTGAGTTGAAGTGAGGTGAGGTGAGTTGAAGTGAGCTGATGTGAGTTGAAGTGAGGTGAGGTGAGTCGAAGTAAGGTGAGGTGAGTTGAAGTGAGGTGATGTGAGTTGAAGTGAGGTGAGGTGAGTTGAAGTGAGGTGACGTGAGTTGATTGAAGTGAGGTGAGGTGAGTTGAAGTGAGGTGATGTGAGTTGATGTGAGGTGAGGTGAGTTGAAGTGAGGTGAGGTGAGTTGAAGTGAGGTGATGTGAGTTGAAGTGAGGTGAGGTGAGTTGAAGTGAGGTGAGGTGAGTTGAGGGAGGCATGAGTGTGCAACGAAAGTGGGATATCTTTGAGACACTTATTGAGCTCCCAACTCACCAGTGCACACGCCATCAATCTCAGTGTACCCTGCCATGCACTCGCACACCCCTTGCCCGTTCGTTGGCACGTACTCCCGGTCGCCCTCGCACACTATTCCATCACAGGGGTCAGCAACTGGGGCATTCATGCCTGGGGAAGCAAGGAGGCAGTCAGAGTTGTGAGCAAGTGAGAACAGTGAGTTGAGGGGGGCATGAGTGTGTGACAAAACGGAGATGTTCTTAAGAATCTTATTGAACACCAAGCAAACAACTGTTGAGCAACTTAAGCACCCCCTACTCAAGCTCACCAGTGCACGCGCCATCGATCTCAGTGTACCCCGCCTTGCACTCGAACACCCCTTGCACGCACTCCCGAGTTTCCCCGCACGTTCCACCATAGGGGTCAGCAACTGGGACGTTTGAGCCTGGAGGAAAAGCACAGGAGTAGTGGGAGTGAGCCTGTGAGGCTAAGGAGGAGTGATAGTGGGAGTGGGAATGATGTGAGAAGGATGAGCATGCGATAAAATTAAGGTGCAGGTGAGATGCACTGAAGGAAAAACTCTCCCATTATTCACTGCAACGAGCACTGAATAAAGCTGTGTGTGACTGTGCACTGAGACAGGTGAGGGTGAGAGTGAGGTGACAGAGTGAGAGTTAGGAGAGAGTGAGGTGAGAGTGAGGAGAGAGTGAGGAGAGAGTGAGGTGAGAGTGAAGAGTGAGGAGAGAGTGAGGTGAGAGTGAGGCATTGGACGTTGAAGCACTGCTGAGCAACCGTGAGCCACCTCAAGCCCTTTCTTCTTGAGCTCACCAGTGCACGCGCCATCCATCTCAGTATACCCCTCCTTGCACGTGCACGCCCCTTGCACGCACTCCCGGTTGCCCTTGCACGCTCCACCACAGGGGTCAGCAACTGGGGCGTTCGTGACTAGAGGCGAAGCACGGAGGGAGTCAGGGTTGTGAGAGCAAGTGAGGCGGGGATGGGGTGAGAGATGGGGGCAACAACTGGGGCGTTCATGTTTGGGGAAACACGGAGGGAGCCACATTCGTGAGTGAGTCGTTATCTCTATGTGCGACTGAGGTAAGAATATGAAAGAGAGTGAGAGTGAGGTGCGAGTGAGGTGAGCTCCCAGCAACCTTAATAACGCCCTTCTTCAGCTCAACAGTGCACGCGCCATCCATCTCAGTATACCCCTCCTTGCACTTGCACACCCCATTCATGCACTGCTGATTGGCTTTGCATGTTCCGCCACAGGGGGCAGCAACTGGGGCGCACATGATTGGGGAAGAAAAGAGTGGTCCAAATTTGTGAGTGAGTTGATCAATCTCTCTACCTGTCGTTCTATCCATTTGTCTCAAAACTCACAAGACACAAGGAGCATCCGAGATGAGAGAAGCATGCTGAAAATTAGCAGAAATAGACGGTCAGGTGAGAGTGAGGCGATTGTGGGAGTGCAGTGAGGTGAGGCTGTGACTAAGAGTGAGGTGAGAGTGAGAGAGAGTGAGAGTGAAGGTCAAAGCATCTCATCCTCATTGCATCTCATCCTCATTGCATCTCATCCTCATTGCATCTCATCCTCATTGCATCTCATCCTCATTGCATCTCATCCTCATTGCATCTCATTGTCATTGCATCTCATCGTCATTTCATCTCATTTTCATTGCATCTCATCCTCATTGCATCTCATCCTCATTGCATCTCATCCTCATTGCACCTCATCCTCATTGCATCTCATCCTCATTGCATCTCATCCTCATTGCATCTCATCCTCATTGCATCTCATCCAACCTCCTCCCCTCACTCTCCCATCAGTGTCTTCAACCTTCCAAACGTCCCTCATTGCCCTCCGTGCATTGCCTCTCCCTGCCCCTCCGTGCATTGCCTCTCCCTGCCCTCCATGCCAGCCCCGCTGGACCCTTGTGAGACCGTGGATTGCCCCCCGGGCTCCATTTGCAAAGGAGGTGTCTGCAAATTGCAAATTGACATGCTATCAGAGCAGGTCGATGTCAGTAGAGCTACACTGTGAGATCCCCGATCGATCCTAGGGGGGGTTACAGGCGCGTTTTCCTGGGGGGTTATGGGCGCACTGACCCGCTACTGAAACAAGCCCTTTTATCCCAATGGTCTAGTGGTTGGGATTCTGACATGGTATCAGAGCGGTCTCGGGTTCGAATCCCGTTGTATGCACATGTTGGTTGTTGCCACTGTGCTCAGTCCTGGGCCTCCCAGTGTGGGGGGGTGTCAGTAGAGCTACACTGTGAGATCCCCGATCGATCCTAGGGGGGGTTACAGACGCGTTTGCCTGGGGGGTTATGGGCGCACTGACCTGCTACTGAAACAAGCCCTTTTATCCCAATGGTCTAGTGGTTGGGATTCCGACAGTCCACCCCCTTGGGTCGATCCTGTGGGTGGGCCCGCCACCTAACTGCTTCCGCTGCTATTTTGCTTCTCGTGCGCCTAAGGCGCGCGCCGTCTTCTTCCTGCGAAATATTTTAGGATTTTTCATCCCACCGTGCGCTCGGGGCGCGCGGCGATTTTCTGCCTGCCGTGCGCCCCGAGGCGCGCGGCGGTTTTTTGCCGTGGGGGACCCGCGCGCAACACCCCGCCCTTCCCGTCGCGTCGCCCTGCAGGCCGTGCGCGGGTCTGCAGGGCGCGTGCGGCCCGTCTGCCCGTCGCACGGCCTTGGGGAGCAGCGCGCCGCCCCCGCCCTTCCCGTCGTGTCGCCCTGCAGGTCGCGCGCGGGTCTGCAGGCCGCGCGCGGCCCGTCTGCCCACCGCACGGCCTTGGGGAGCCGCACGCGCCCCCCGCCTGTCCGTCGCGGCGCCTTGGGGAGCCGCGCGCGCCCCCCCCGCCCGTCCGTCTTGGCGCCCTAGGTAGGAGCGCGCGGCCCCTCCTGTCCCATCCCCCCCCCCTCGTGCTGCCCATTCCTCCCGTGCCGCCGTGCGTTCCGCGGTGGTGGGGGGTGTGGGGTGGCAAGCATGGGGGAGCGCGGTGTGGGTGTTCCCCTCCTCCTTGTTCGTCTCCCACTGCTACAGCTGCTGCTGAGGGGGGTGGAGGTGTGGGAGCCGCGGGGAGTGGAGCTTGGGGGGTGACGTGGGAGTGGAGCTAGGGGTGCAGCAGGGGGTGTGTGGAAAGGAGGTGGGACTGTTTGGGGAGGCTGAGAGGAGGCCGCCATCGTGTCGTTCGCAGCGCCTGTAGTCCGGAGCTGTCGTGCTCTCGGTAGCCCAGAGAGCCTTGCTGTGCCGGTCGCCCGTGGGTCCGTTGCTTCTGCCGCTCGTCGTAGCCGCGGGGCCTGTTACTCCCTGTAGTCCGGGGCAATTGCCGCCAGTAGCCACTGTGCCAGTCCTCCTGTTGCCCGTGTGTCTGCAGCTTCAGCCGTCGTCTCCCATCTTCTCTCCCTTCACAATTCCTCCTCCTCACTTGCCCTCTGTGATTGCCTCTAGCTTTGCTTATAATTGTGAACTATTACTATGCCTACTCATTGTGCTGATTACACCCCACTTTGGCTATGGGGGTGTGTCAAAATGTTATTATCTAGCTTGTAGTGGGGTGCTCTATAGCAAGTACAACCCAGTTAGGGTTTGCTATATGTATTCCAACTGCTGCTAGTGAAACCCCTCTTTCGTCATTCTTCTTTTGTACTACCTAGTGTTTTGACAGTAGAGCACAACAGGTTTGGTTGGCGAGAGTCCCAACCACACCCTCCTGAGGGAACAAGGGGCTCAAAATGTGCACAGTTTGCCCTCTTCGGTAATTCAGGTCGTGTGATTTCCTTAGTACGCGAAGCGATTAGAGTATGCGAAGAGATAGAATAAAACGCCACTACAGCATAGGCCATGAGCATTTTCACTTTTATTCCTAGCTCTTTCCCAAACATCGCATTTGGACCTATCGCCTTCCGCGTCCCCCACGCTTCTCCCCACCGTCTCTCACACACCTCCCCACGCACACGCCCACTCTTCCCACCGTCGCCCAAGCTTTCCCCCTCCGTCGCTCACGCTTCCTCCGGCCTTCCCCCACACCGTCGCTCACGCCTTTCCCCACCTTCCCTCACGTTTCCCCTCTCATCACCCACGATTCCTCCTACCGTCGCCCACGCTTCGGAGCACCGTCACCCACGCTTTCTCCAATGTGGCCCACGCTTCCCCCCACCGTCGCCCACGCTTCCCCCCACCGTCACCCACGCTTCCCCCCGCCGTCGCCCACGCTTCCCTCCACCGTCGCCCACGCTTCCCTGCACCGTCGCCCCCGCTTCCCCCCACCGTCGCCCACGCTTCCCCCCACCGTCACCCACGCTTCCCCCCACCGTCGCCCACGCTTCCCCCCACCATCGCCCACGCTTCCCCCCACCGTCGCCCATGCTTCCCCCCACCGTCGCCCACGCTTCCCCCCACCGTCGCCCACGCTTCCCCCCACCGTCGCCCAAGCTTCCCCCCACCGTCGCCCACGCTTACCCCCACCGTCGCCCACGCTTCCCCCCACCGTCGCCCACGCTTCTTCCCAATGTCGCCCACCGCCACTGTCACCCATGCTTGCCCTCCCATCGTCCTCGCTTAGCCTTCCCGCCGACCTCCCTTCTCTCCTCCTCTCTCCACGTCATCATCACTCCCCTGCCCATCACGTTCCCCCTCTTCACCATCGCTTCTCTACCCATGCCGCCCACCCTCTCATCCCTTCCCATCGCGTGGGGTGTGGGAGGGTGCGTGGTCAGCAGCACCCTTCCGTCGCATACACGCTCATTCATTACCCCTTCCCTCATCTCCCCATTCCTCATCCCCCCTTCTATCATCTCCCCATCCCTCATCTCCTCATCCCTCACCTCCCCATCCCTCTCCTCCCCAGCCCTCTCCTCCCCATCCCACACCTCCCCATCCCTCATCTCCTCATCCCTCATCTCCCCATCCCTCATCTCCCCAATCCGCCTCACCCCATTCCGCCCCGCCCCACCCCATTCCGCCCCACCCCTTTCTGCCCCACTCCATTCCGCCCCACCCCTTTCTGCCCCACCCCATTCCGCCCCACCCCAGCCTCCTCCCCAGCCTCCTCCCCACCCTCCTCTCCAGCCTCCTCCCCACCCTCCTCCCCAGTCTCCTCCCACCCTCCTCCCCACCCTCCTCCCCACCCTCCTCCCCACCTTCCTCCCCACCCTCCTCCCCACCCTCCTCCCCACCCTCCTCCCCACCCTCCTCCCCACCCTCCTCCTCACCCTCCTCCCCACCCTCCTCCCCACCCTCCTCCCCACCCTCCTCCCCACCCTCCTCCCCACCCTCCTCCCCACCCTCCTCCCCACCCTCCTCTCCAGCCTCCTCCCCACCCTCCTCCCCACCCTCCTCCCCACCCTCCTCCCCACCCTCCTCCCCACCCTCCTCCCCACCCTCCTCCCCACCCTCCTCCCCATGTCAAAATGTTATAATTGTCTAGCTTGCAGTGGGGTACTCTATAGCGAGTACAGCCCTATTAGGGTGTCCTATATGTATGCCAACTGCTGCTAGTGCAACCCCTCCTTTCTTCATTCTTGTTTCTGTCTGCTAAGTTTGTCATGCTATCAGAGCAGGTCGACCCCCTTGGGTCGATCCTATGGGTGGGCCCACCACCTAACTGCTTCCGCTGCTGTTCTGCTTCTCGCGCGCCTCGGGCGCGCGCCGTCTTCTTCCTGCCGTGCGCTCGGGGCGCGCGGCGGTTTTCTGCCCGCCGTGCGCCCCGAGGCGCGCGGCGGTTTTCTACACGGTGGATCCGCGCCCCCCCCCCCCCCCCCCCCCCCCCCCCGCCATCCTGTGCCGTTCGTGGCGCCCTCTCCCGTCGCCCGTCGTGGCGTCGTGGGGGCCGCGCGTCCCCCCCATCCCGTCGCCCGTCGAGGCGCCTAGGGGGCCGCGCGTCCCCCTCCTTCTGTCGCCCGTCGTGGCGCCACGAGGGCCGCGCGTCCACCCCCCCCCCCCCTCGTTCGCGTCGTCACGTCGCGACGCTCTGGGGAGCCGCACGCGGCCCCCGATTCCCCGTCGCGCTGCCCTGGGGAGCCGCGCGACCCCCCACTGCCCCGTCGCACCGCCCTGGGGAGCCGAGCGTGGCCCCTTGCTGCCCCGTGGTGGCGCCCTGGGGGCCGCGCGCCGTCCCCCCCGCCGTCCCTCGCGCTCCTACCCCTTGCAACCCGTTTTAGGGTTTGGGGGTGAGGAGTGTGGGGGTGGCAGGTATGGGGGTGCAGTTTCTGTGTGCCATCCCCTGCTCCTCCTCCTCCTCCGTCTCCCAGTGCTGCAGGTGCCGCAGAGGGGGGTGGATCTGTTGGAGCCATCGGAGTGGTACTAAGGGGTGAAGGGGGAGTGGAGCTAGGGGTGAAGCAGGGGGTGTGTGTCAAGGGGGGTGGGACTGTTTGGGGAGGCTGAGCGGAGGCTGTCGTCTTGTCGTCCGCAGCACCTGTAGTCCGGGGCGCTGTCCTGGTAGCCCAGAGAGCCTGCTGCGCCTGTCGCCCATGGGTCCGTTGCTCCTGTAGCTCCTCGTAGCCCGTGAGCCAGTTACTCCAGTAGTCCGGGGCGCTGTCCCGGTAGCCACTGTGCCAGCCGCTCCTGTTGCCCGTGTGTCTGCAGCTTCAGCCGTCGTCTCCCATCTTCTCTCCTCTCACAGTCCCTCCTCCTCCTCACTTGCCTGCTGTGACTACCACTAGCTTTGCTCATAATTGTGAACTGCTGCTATGCTTGCTCATTGTGCTGATTACACCCCACTTTGGCTATGGGGGTGTGTTAGAATGTTATAATTGTCTAGCCTGCAGTGGGGTACTCTATAGCGAGTACAACCCAATTAGGGTTTCCTATATGTATGCCAACTGTTGCTAGTGCAACCCCTCCTTTCTTCATCCTTGTTTCTGTCTGCTAAGTTTGTCACCCCACCCTCCTCTCCAGCCTCCTCCCCAGCCTCCTCCCCACCCTCCTCCCCACCCTCCTCCCCACCCTCCTCCCCACCCTCCTCCCCACCCTCCTCCCCACCCTCCTCCCCACCCTCCTCCCCACCCTCCTCCCCACCCTCCTCCCCACCCTCCTCCCCACCCTCCTCCCCACCCTCCTCCCCACCCTCCTCTCCACCCTCCTCCCCACCCTCCTCCCCACCCTCCTCCCCACCCTCCTCTCCAGCCTCCTCCCCACCCTCCTCCCCACCCTCCTCCCCACCCTCCTCCCCACCCTCCTCCCCACCCTCCTCCCCACCCTCCTCCCCACCCTCCTCCCCACCCTCCTCCCCACCCTCCTCTCCAGCCTCCTCCCCACCCTCCTCCCCACCCTCCTCCCCACCCTCCTCTCCACCCTCCTCCCCACCCTCCTCCCCACCCTCCTCCCCACCCTCCTCCCCACCCTCCTCCTCACCCTCATCCCCACCGTCCTCCCCACCCTCCTCCCCACCCTCCTCCCCAACCTCTCTTCCTCCCCTCCCTTCTGCTTCTCCCCCAAGCGTCCTCCCTACCTCCCTTCTTCCCATCATCACTTCCTCCCTTCCTTCATTCCTGCATTCCTCACTTCGTCCCTTCCTCCGTTCCTCCCTTCCTCATTTGCCAGTTGTCATTCTTTTGCATGCTTGCTTCCCTTATACTCCAGCCACGTCACATCTGACTTCTTGATTTGTGTTTGGACAGGTCTGCTCTGCATCTGGTTGTGCATGTGCTGGCTGTCTGGTAGTAACACACGTATAGACATGCCATATATTGGAAATGTTTTTATAATACAGGAGTATGAGCCTCAGAGCAGTCATACACATGACCAATACCAAGGAGTTCAACAATTAATATATTACCGTATCTGTAAAGTAAGGGGAATCACCAGACTCGAGAAGGGAACAAAGCTGGCGGGTGTATGTGTAATGTTGCTTTCCGGTTTTGTTTGCTACACTGCAAGCAATAAACCAGGCCGTGCTAAGCCACATCTGGTGCTGAGCATCTGTAACTGCATTGGGGGGTATGGGGGTGGGTGAAGGGGGAAAGACAGTAAACAGAATGAGCAGAGGGGAAGAGAAGAAGCAACGGGGGATAGATTGAACAGAGGGGAAGAGAGGAAGCAGGGGGGAACAGAGTGAGCAGAAGTAAAGAGAGTGAGCAAGGGGGAAGAGAGTGAGCAAAGAATAAGGGGAGGGAGCATGGGTGAAACAGAGGGAGCAAGGGTGAAATAGAGGGAGCAGGGGTGAGAAGGGAAGGCGATAGGGGGAAACAGGGAAAGAGATAGGGGGAAGCAGGGAAGGGGATGGGGGGGAGCAGGGAAGGGGATGGGGGTGAGCAGGGAAGCGGATGGGGGGATGCTGGGAGGGGGACGGGGGAAGGAGGGAAGGGGACGGGGGGAAGCAGGGAAGGGGAGGGGGGAAAGCAGGGAAGGGGATGGGGGGGAGCAGGGAAGGGGTTGGGGGGAAGCAGGGAAGGGGATGGGGGGAGCAAGTCGGAGGATGGGGGGAAGCAGCGCAGGGGATACGAGGAAACAGGGAAGAAGGGAAGGGTGTATGTGTGGGTTGGAAAGGGGGCGTGGCAAGTGTGCGAGATGGGAAGGGAGAAGGGAGGGATGGCGAGGGCAACGAGGACTGGAAGGGAGGGCGACGGGGAAAACGAGGGCGACCAGGGGGGAGAGAGACGGGGATTGCGAGGGGACGAGCGCGAGACGAAGGGGGGCAACGGGCGGAAGGGAGGGAAAGAGAGCGTGGAGGGGGGAAGAGAGTGAGAAGGGGGGAAAGAGAGTGAGCAAGGGGAAAGAGAGTGAGCAAGGGGGGAAGAGAGTGAGCAGGGGGGGAGAGAGTGAGTATAGTCATGAGTCGGGAAAACAGGGGCGAGCAGAGGGGGTAAGAGAGCGTGAAGGGGGAAAATGGGTGAGAAATGGGGAAAGTGGGGTTAGAACAAGGGGAGTGAGCAGAGGGAAAGAGAATGAGGAGGGGGGAAGCGAGTGAGCAGGGGGAAAGAGATTGAGGAGGGGGGAAGCGAGTGAGCAGGGGGGAAGAGAGTGAGCAAGGGGGAAGAGAGTGGGAAGAGAGTGAGTAGGGGGAAGAGAGTGGGAAGAGAGTGAGCAGGGGGGAAGAGATTGAGGAGGGGGGAAGCGAGTGAGCAGGGGGGAAGAGAGTGAGCATGGGGGAAGAGAGTGAGCAGGGGGAAAGAGAGTGAGCAGGGGGGAAGAGAGTGAGCAGGGGGAAAGAGAGTGAGCAGGGGGGAAGAGAGTGAGCATGGGGGAAGAGAGTGAGCAGGGGGAAAGAGAGTGAGCAGGGGGGAAGAGAGTGAGCAGGGGGAAAGAGATTGAGCAGGGGGGAAGAGAGTGAGCAGGGGGGAAGAGAGTGAGCAGGGGGGAAGAGAGTGAGCAGGGGGAAAGAGATTGAGCAGGAGAGAGTGAAAGGCAATGGGAGGGGAAGTGAAGGTGACGGGTGGGGAAGCGAGTGTGACGGGGGGAAAGCGAGTGCGGCAGGCATGGAAGGCGACGGGAGGGGGAATCGAAGGCATCGGGGGGGAGAAGTGAAGACGACGGGAGGGGGAAGTGAGGGCGACGAGAGGGGGAAATGAAGGCGATGGGAGGGGGAAATGAAGGCGACGGGAGGGGAAGTGAAGGCGACGAGAGGGGGAAGTGAAGGCGACGGGAGGGGGAAATGAAGGCGACGGGAGGGGGAAATGAAGGCGACGGGAGGGGGAATTGAAGGCGACGGGAGGGGGAAGTGAAGGCGACGGGAGGGGGAAATGAAGGCAATGGAAGAGGGGGGGCGAGTGAAGGCAACGGGGGAGAAGTGAAGGCGACGGGCGGAGCGAAGGCGACGGGCACGCGACGAGCTGCGGAAGCGATGGCGACGACGCGGGCGAAAGAGAGCGGAAGCGTGGGAAAGGAAAGCGAGGGCGAGGGGAGGGTCACGTTTGGGCGAACGGTTGCGATTCGATTTTCGCCACGAGTTTACGCTACGTAGTAGTTGCACAATAACCTGCATTTCGACACAATAATCTTCACCCAGCGCAAACTAGCTTTGCGCGTCATCATTGCAAATCCGCGCCACCCAAATCGTATGGCACATCTACTCCCTTTTGAGTGAACGCCGACGCCCTGCCCTGTCTACAGGTATGGTGTATGCCTAATACTCTGCGTGCTATCTCAAACTATGCACAGTTTGATAAGCTCGCGCTTTTTTGGTTGTGGGAAGGGCACCAACCATCATGGGAAGCGAGAAACTTTTGTCGCTCGCGAGTGAAAATCTCTCGCAACCCAACCGAACCTCTCCGTGTCTACCTCCCGAGCCTAGTTTTTAGCGTTGACTTCCGTTGAGTAATTCAGGTCTTGGGCTTTAACCTGAGAATAGTGTACGCAACCTGGCATGCACCTGAATAGCGCGCCTCGACTAAGTTGCATGCACCTGAAAATGGCCGATGAATTATGCAGTCAAACGAGGTTTGACAAATGAATTGGTTTGGAGTTCTCCAATGGGCGAGCGATTTGGGTCCCACGGCAGCTCCTCTTTCCTTGTGACGCATCTGTCGCTCTCTTCTCCCCATTCCGCTGCTTTCGCGAATCCGAACGAAATTGTGCGATCCACGTGCTGCGGTAGAAGGAACATCGATATCCGTAGCTGAGGAGTTGAAAAGGTTTCGATATCTCGACGCATATTCAATTTTGGTGTGTTGTCTATCAAATAGCACAGACCTGGATCTTGAACCGTTCGATCAGAAAGGCATAAATCCGACAGGGTATGTCCAGGAATACCCCCCACCCCTACACACTTTCGGTTGGGGTAACGAAACGGGTTCAGAATTCTCGTTCCCCATCGCTAACATTCGCCACCGCCATTGCTGTCACTCGGTGTACTTGTAACGAGTTTGCGTTAGGGTGTAGGTCGAGACGGGACTGCGGGAGGCGGAGAGTAGGGGAGAGGCGGAGCACAGACTGCGACGGCGAGGGAATCGGTTCTTATTGCACGACTCGTGGATGGGAGAGCTCCGCCGCTGGCGCAACTTGCGGAAACGCAACGCCGGGATGGCGGAGGTGAGGAGAAGCAGAGACTGGGGTGGAAGGGGGAGGGGGGAAGAGAGAATCAGGGCATAGCGCGCGACCGGAGAGATGCTCCATTTCTGGCGTGCTCCGATCGCGGCATGATCGCAGCCCAACGGGCAGCCGCGCGGCCCGACTAGTTTGCGATGAGGCATGCGCTGCTCGCGGACAGAGAGGGGTGAGGCACGGAAAGGGATGAGGCGCGGGAAGGGAATGAGGCGCGGGAAGGGAATGAGGCGCGGAAAGGGATGCGGCGTGGAAGGGGATGAGGCAAAAGGGGAGAGGCGCGGAAAGGGGTGAGGCGCGGAAAGCAGATGAGGCACGGAAACCGGATGAGGCACGGAAAGCGGATGAGGCACGGAAAGCGAATGAGGCACGGAAAGCGGATGATTACTTGCTGGTGGTCACCAGCTTGAACACAAATATTTCTCGCATCGATTCACGCCTAGCAACATCTTCAGTGGTGCCTCACCGCCTATTCATCGGAAAAATCCCTGGTTAGCCAAACACAGGCCCGAGGGATTTGCCCGAGTCCTCTGAGGGGGGGGGGGGGGGGGAATGGAAACCATAGGTTTCCTGCTGGATGTGTCGGTCGAACTAGAAATTATCGAAACTGACGACTGATCGTTTATTTTCTGTCTCAATCTACCATTCATTGGGTTGACTGGAACGGCCGAGGTTCGACAGTTTAGGGTCAGGTCTGTGTCGAGCTGGTTTTGATGAGACACAGCCGTGAATTGTGCCACGTTCTCTCCCTTCGTAACTTTGCCACTGTTTGCCCATTCAGGGCTGGTTTGTTTTGAAGTCGCGGGTGTCGCGATCTGGTTACAGGTTTCACATTTCGTTGCATGTGGCATTTGCCTTGTCCTGTAGTGTTGGGACATCGTGTTTTTTTTTTTGGGTTGCGTAGCAACCCTTTATATTTGGTTTCACATTTTGGGGATATCATATAGAGAGTGAATTTCGAAGTACTCTTTGGAACACTCGTTTGAACGTTTTAAGTCTGTGTTCAAACGAACGCCTCAAGGAGTGAATGCGCATCACTCTTGAATGCGATATCCCTGAATGTGAAGCCAAATACGTACGTACGTATCATGTTGAAACCATGAATTTGCTCGACCGTCCCACCTCGTCGATAAATACGGCGGATGGTACGGCCGAACATAAGATTCAGGCATCAACATGAACGAATGCAACTAGTACAAATGAACAACAAGGTATGAGGTGGTATGGATGCTTCAAAATGGGCGTCAAAATGCATCATATAGCAACAGAGGCTCATGGGGTCGTTGAAACAGCGAAAACACGCAGCCCCAAAGACGATTAACAACCTCTAGTTGCATACATGACACATAGTAACACCACACTTTGAAACACACATACCACGAACACGAATGCACACGCGCGTAAAAATCGCCAACACCACATACACGCACGCACCCAGACATGTACAAGCAAATAAACAAAGCTACACAAACAACCAGCTAATATATCGCACACACAGATAACAAAAAGTTAAGTTTATTCATGTATAACCCAATTTCTCCATATCTCCCCATGTTGCCTCCATTCCCCGCTTGCTTCCACCCCTTAAAATTTATTGCAAACGGAAGTGGGGACGATAGAGCTCCGCTCACATATCCTGCACAAAATAATAAAGAAACAAACACAACAAACAAGAAATATAGTGCAAAGGTTTGTTTACAAGTTCAACAAGTTAATAACTCATACTCGCACACTCTCACACTTACCCACGCACTCACTCGCACATTTAATCACGCACTTAGGCACGCTCTCACTCCACACTATGTCACTCATTCGTCCTTGCACTCAAACACGCACTGGCCCTTGAACTTCGCTGCAACTCACCCTCGCACGCACTTTCACAGTCAACCAGACTCAGTGACCAACTCAACCTTACACTCAGTCATACAATCACCCTCCCACACATTCATGCACTCACCCTTGCATTCACCCTCGCACTTACTCATGCACTCAGTCTCGCATTCAACCTCGCACGCACTCTTTGACTCACCCACGCACTCAGCAAAACACCCAGCTTTGCACTCAGCCAACACTCTATTATGCACTCACTTCCATACTCACTCACGCCCTCACCTTCGCACTCATCCATGCACTCTCCCTCACACTCAACCAATCAATCACCCTCACACTACCACACTCTCTCTGTCGCACGAAGCCATGCACTCACTCACACAATCAGGCACGCACTTGGCCACTCAGTCATTATCACACTCAAACACACATTCTTCCACGCTCATCCACGCACTCATGCTCACACTCATGCTCGCACTCATCCAAGCACTCACCCTCGCACTCACTCAAACGCTCACCTTCTTACTCACCTATGCACTCGCTCACGCACTAAACCATGCATACACCCTGACACCCACGCACTTGCTCACGCAGTCTCCATCACACCCACCCTCTCACTCACTCACAAACTCATCCTCTCACTTACCATTTCAGTCAGCGACGCACTCACTCACTCGGCCACATAATCCGCCTCGCACCTCACTATCGCACTCGACCATACACACATGCTCGCGCTCTTCCACGCATCCTTCCAAGCACTCACGCACGCATATAGCCATGCACTCACTCTCGCACATAGCCACGCACTCACTCTTGCACTCAATCGCTCACTCACCTTCGCACTTAGCCACGCACTTACACTCGCACTCTGAAAGGCAATCACTCGCGCACTCATCCTCGCACTCACTCACGCACTCATCCTCGCACTCACTCACGCACTCGCCCGCGCACTCATCCAAGCACTTACTCTCGCATTCACGTACGCACTCACTCACCCATGCACTCACTCACGCAATCATCCTTGCAACGAAGCTTAAAATAGAGGCTTTGAGGAGGGGATGGACTCCATCAAAGAAAAAAGGCATGAAATCAACAATTGGTATGCAACGATACAGAAAGGTGTACGTGGTAGAGGACTGTATGGGACATGAGAAGGGAGGGAAACAGCGAAAGTGACAAACGTGAGCAAAAACGAAGCAAGGACGATGCAGCCTTCGCGCTTTGGCGCCAGCGCCTACAGCGATCAAGGCGCCAAGCCGCCAGCAAAAAATGCGCTAAGGCGCCAGCGAGATAGGCGCCAAGGCGCCAGCGAAATAGGCGCCCCGGCGCCAGCGAACAAGGCGCGCCGGCGCCTTGAAGGCGCCACGGCGCCTGCGAACAAGGCGCCACGGCGCCTGCGAACAAGGCGCCACAGCGCCTGCGAACAAGGCGCCGTACGGCGCCTGCTAACAAGACGCCACAACGCCTGCGAACAAGGCGCCACGGCACCAGCGAACAAGGCGCCGTACGGAGCCTGCGAACAAGGCGCCACTGCGCCTGCGAACAAGGCGCCACGGCGCCAGTGAACAAGGCGCCGTACGGCGCCTGCTAACAAGGCGCCACAGCGCCTGCGAACAAGGCGCCACGGCGCCAGCGAACAAGCGCCAAGCGCCTTGCCAACGCTACTACTAGTAGCACCTACCGGAGCAACCGCGGCTGTGGGAGAGGAGACTACTGCTCTGCCAACGTTGAACAATTGCTAGAATCAAGAAGTTCTGATTAGTAAGATCAAGAATCGAGAAGCGAGCTCAGAAACATGACTGAAACAAGAAACTAGGAAGCAGTTGCTTGAATGGTGTTCTACTACCTCCTCACGATAATCGAGAGTGGGCATGGAAAGAGCGAGATAGATGCGCTTCGGGAAAAAACATGTGCAAAGAAGCATCATGCGGTGCGGAGAAACATGAGGAAGAATACCAGGCACCAGCGCCAGCGCCAGCGCGTTAGTGCCAGCATGTGTGCGCACGTGAAATTCAGCCGACTCAGCTCCATTTCATGTGCAGTTTGCGCCAGCTCCAGAAAGTGAATAACTGACCGCACGTTCTCCATAATAGTGTATAGTAGTAAATCACTTATCTAATAAATAAACATGCTCACTATTCCTCATTATCTTGTGTTCTAGATAAAGACAAAAATGCAATACATATGTAACATAAACTGGATGAAAAATAATATATGCACAACTGCGTTGCAATTATCTTGAGTACGGTATGCAGAAAGTGGTAAATGTAGACGATTAATTGCCTGTTGCGATTGATGTGCAAGAATATAAATTGCAAGGAGACGTACAATTTGGTGCAATAAGAATATAAATTTGTATTTGTCATTATACCGTATAAGCGCATGCGCTTACATTTTTACTCACATATAAGAGCACCCCCCTAAAAAAACACTAATTTTTTATAAGCGCACCTGCGCTTATATCAGGGATATTACGGTACTACGCAACCCTTACGACGTTCATCGTCGAGCCTTGTTTCTGACTCCTTGCTTCTCAGTTTTCACTTTAACCGATATACGTTGGCTCGTTTACATTGTGTGCAGGTTTTCTGTTTTACATGTGTTTTATGTTATCTGCAGTATGCAGGTAATTTGTTTTAGAATTCCAGACACTACACACTGGTTTTCGACATTCGTCCTACTGTTTATACGGTATTGTTTTGTAATTGGTACATAGCGGTTATTGTAAGTTGGATTTCCGATTTAATCAATGATTTGCTCAGATACTAGCCTTAGTGTTATTAATGAGTGTATGTAAATTTATACACATGATGACGGATAACTTGCGTAATTTACGTATGCAACGCGTCCGTTTGTTTTGTCGTACACGACCAGGTTGAATACGTTGGTTGACACATGTGTTTCCCACCACAATTTTGTCAATGTTGTTTGGTGACGCTGCACGATTTTTCGCGAGTCGCGCTAGTTCACATTTGGGTGATTTGGCGCGTTCTCACTCGTTCACCCGCGTTTGACCAGCCGTGTCGCTTTGTAACATTCATGTTTGGTCGCGGGTCAGTTTGAAGTGCTCACGCTTTGGTTTCGAGTGGGTAGCCCGTATGCCTTAAGTGATGTTTAGCTGCCTAAGTGATGTTTAGCTGCCTAACCCGGATGCATAGTATTAGTCCTGGCCATATCGCATTTCCCTGCGAACTGATAACACACCCTGCAATTGTATTAAGGTGGATGTTGTTTAAAGGGCACCTTTTGTCAGTTCTTAGCAAAGGTGGCGTTTCACTTTGTACCCCTGTTTTTAAACGTTGTGTTGGGTATCAGCCCGTCGGGTTGAGGGCAAAGTTTTAGGCACCACAGACTCCCACGCTTTGGCCCCAAACCTATCAACAGGCCTGCTTAGGGGGCAAGGAAGTCTTGTGTCTGGAATTCCGAATTCCAAATTCGTCCATGTTCCCAAAATCGACACGATTCCAAGCCCCAAAAATCCGTGCATTCCGCCTCCGCAACAATTTCTTGCGGTTAGCTGCGATTTAAGTACTGAAGTTGGGGTTAGGCTACACTTGCGGCCACTGGTGGCGGCTAATCCGCGAGCTTTTTTCCAGCCGGTGGTTCATTCACCTTGAAGTGGCGATCTCAGAAGGTGAGTTATTCAGCTTCATGGAGCCCCCGCCGCCCACTCCTTCTCCGTCGCTCTCGCTTTCCCCCTTCACACTCCCCTTAGCACGTCGCCCTCGCTTTCCCCTCGTCGTCATTGCTTCCCCCGTCGGTCTCGCTTTCCCCCGCCGCACACTCCTTCCCCCGTCTCTCTCGCTTTCCCCCCCTGCCCACTCCTCCCGTCGTTCTCGTTTGCACCCGTCACCCACTCCTTCCCCCGTCGCACTCGCTTTCCCCCGTCGCCTCTGGCTTTCCCCCGTCGTCCTTGCTTCCCCCATCGCCCTCGCTTTCCCCCGTCGTCATTGCTTTCCCCCGTTGCTCTCGCTTTCCCCCGCCGCCCACTCCTTCCCCCATCTCTCTCGCTTTCCCCTGCCGCCCACTCCTCCCGTCGTTCTCGTTTGCCCCCGTCGCCCTTTCTCTACCCCGTCGCCCACACTTGTCACCGTCCCCCATGCTTTCCCAAGTCGCACACGCGTTCCCTGGCGCCCACACTTGTCACTGTCCCCCGTCGCTCTTGCTTTCCTCTGTCATTCTCCCTCCCTTTCCTCTGTCATCATTACTTCCCCCATCGCCCTCGTTTTCCCCCGCCGCCCACTCCTTCTCCCGTCGCTCTCGCTTTCCCCCGCAGCCATTCCATCTCCCGTCGCTCTCTCTTGCCTCCAACACCCACTCCTTCCCCCGTCGCCGTCGCTTTCCCCCGTCTCCCTCCCTTTCCCCCGTCATCCTTACCCTCCCCATCGCTCTCGCACACTCCTCGTCGCTCTCGCTTTCCCCCGTCGCCTTTGTTACACACCGTCGTCATTGCTTTCCCCCGTCGCCAGCTCCTTCCCCACTCGCCTCCCCTTCCGCCCCCGCCTTTTCTTGACCCCCGCCTTTGGCTCCCTCGTCGCTTTTGGTACACCCGTCAGTTTTGGTACACCCCCCGCCATTGCTCCCCCGCCCTCGTCACCTACTCCTGCCCCGTCGCCCTCGTTTCTCCCCGTCACCCAACCCTTCCCCCTTTGCCCACGTTTCCATCCGTCTCCCACCCTTTTCCCTGTCATCCTCTCATACACCCGTCGCCCCCGGTTTCCCCCGTCTCCCACCCTTCCCCCGTCACCATCTCTTACACCCGCCGCCCTCGTAAGCTTGTGCCGCCCTCGTAAGCCCCCTGCCTTCCCTCTGCCTGATACCCTTGGCTGTGTGCACTCAACTGCCTCCTTCTCCCCCCGCTCCTTCGTTCAGGGATCCTTCCACCCTTAGCATTCTCTCATTACTCCTCCCTCCTCACCACCCCTCCGCCCGCCCCTCACCACCACCCTCCAATCTCTTCTTATAGCAGATGGCTTACAATTGCGAAGTGTGCGGAGCTGCCGGGTTCTCTGGTAGGGGTCCGCTCACAAACCATCAAAATGGCGAAACGTGCAGAGCCACCGCCGCAAATCGTTCTGCGACCGCTGAATCTTCACGCTCCATGCAACTTTCACGCACCACGCAAGCTGCCATGCCACGGCCTACGTTGAACATACCCACAGCAACTGCACCCATGCCTGACACCCCGCAACCTCCTCCTTCTACTTCAGTCCCCACCATTCCTGAGCCCGAAACCCACACAGAGGAGAGGGCTGAAGGTGATGGCGTAGGGGATGGTGGGGCGGCATCAAGAGGTGAGAGCAACACACTCAATTTTGCAGATGCATTCGCTCATTTCCTCCTTACCTCCAATCTGTCCAAAAGTGCTATTGATAAGTTGCTCCTCATCTTGAACCTTGGTTCAAAGTTCAATGACGACGTTGTCGTTTTCAGAAATGCGCGAGACGTTGAAAAATACGTCGATGAACACATCCCAGATCCTCACCGTAACTGGAGACGAGGTCTTGTGCGCGTACAGTCAAAAGCTTCGTTAGAGTTCTTTTTTTGTTATGGTGTCATTGGAATGATTGACCTTTTGACACATCCAAAGAATGCGGACAAATTCGTTCTTAAACCCACGTCGCGCATCCCCGGTGAGACACATGTGTACTCATCACCCGAATCTGGGGATTGGTGGTTTACTTTGCACAATGAGGTCAAATAAGTGGACCCGAACGGGGTCGTGGTTGCTCTGATATTGTCGAGCGACGAGACACATATGGACCAAAGAGGCAAGGCCAAGGGTCATCCAGTGTACCTGACACTTGGAAACATTGACAAGCATGACCGTTGGAAGCCATGGGGCCATGTACTGCTTGCTTTGCTTCCTGAATTCACGCCTCAGTACGATTCGCTAGACAAGTTGATTGGCTTCCAACACATCCTGTCAATGGTTATGGTACCATTGCGAAAGGCCTCACACACCGGAATGAGGGTCCAGGACCCTACTGGTGCCACGTACAACGTGTGGCCTGGTTTGTACGCATACGCATGTGACTATCCTGAGTCGTGCAAGGTGACTTGCACAAAATCGGGGGCCACAGGCTTCCCATGCTCGTTGTGCACAGTCCCTGTTGCTGAGACCAACAAACTACTGCCTCGCATTGTCCCTCGTACTCCACACTTGCAAAAGGGCATTACCTCGATTTTGCAAATGCGGTTGTTTCCGAAGGCGTGTCAAGCATGTCAGCACATCTGGTGAATTGTTTTCTGTGGGGTTGGCGTTGGTCATCTATTCCTATTTTGAACCCTTATTTGAGCGTCATGCCTGATATCATGCACCAGGCAGATTTGGGAATTCTTGTGCACATCATTGACTTTTTCCGTACACAACTCACCATCGCTAAAAAAAAAGAGGCCGACGAGAGAATAGCCTACTTGCGGGAGCACAACCGCAACCCGTTCATGCGCCTGCCTGGGGGCGAGTATTTCTCCTCAGGCGCGAGCTATCAGGCGTATGAGCATAGGGGTGTCATGCAAGTCCTTCCTTTTCTAGTGCATGGCTTTGAGTCGACTGTCCCTCAGGCGCACATGGACGCGATTGCAACTTACATTGACTGGTACACCTACTGTGCCCGCGCCAGTGAGCATACGACAGAGACGCTGCGTGATTTGAAGCACAAGGCCGAAAGGTATGCCCATGTGTTACTATACTATGCAGCGCGTGCATGCAATATGTTGTTGCACATGTAAGACTACCACTATGGGATTCTAGCCAATGCCTTTCTGCTCAAACACCCACCATCACCATTGTATGGCAGGTTGATTTTCACCCTCAAATCAGCCTTTCCTCTACAGGCGTCAAAGTGGCGCTTCATCAAGATGCACCTAATTAGCCACTACATCGACTCGATCCGTCGTGCTGGCTTGCCAGAGCACTACTCTACGCAGATGTTTGAGCACCTGCACATCGAGTACATCAAGAACCCTTACAGAGCATCGAACCGGCGCACGGCCACTGCACAGATCATGAATAGTGAGGTGATGCGTCTGCGCCTGGACTCCATTGCACCAGTTCTCGGCAAGCGTAAAGCCTACGACACGTGCATGGTTGAGGTGAGTCCTACTTTATTCATAGTTGACTTGGTCGTACACCTTCCACCTCGTAGATATACCACTCATTCCTATTATACACGATCATGCCTGCAGGCTCAGCGGACGGGGGAAAGGGTGATGACTCGAGAGAGTTGGAGGCTGCTGGTCCCTGCCAACCGGCTAGTGGCACCCTTCGTGGTGCCGTTGACACCTGATGCTGACCGAGATAGCAAGTTCTTGACGGCGTTATCTGCGGACCTTCCCTTCCTACGCGGCGCTTTGAATGAGGCACCTGCATGCTCGGGAAGTAGCATCGACACCATCCACGTAAGATGATCCCTTGAACCTACCACGTCATCCCCCTCCTCTCTCTTTCCCCCTTTTGTGGCTATATAAAATGGTGGCATCTCATCCCTCTTTCACCACTCTTCCCTCTCTCTCTGACACACTCATTATACCGTCCTTCCCCTGCACCATAACTACACCCACAGATCCACAACGGTTTGGCAATGCCAGCTGCAATCGATGCGGCATTTAGCCGCCTACCTCATCATCTTCGTGCTGCGCCGATGTTCTATGGTCGGCCATGGTTCTCCAACATCGCAGTTGTTGGGGAGGGTGACGATGCAGAGCCTCTCGAATGGTATGCAAAGTTGCTGATACTGTTTGAGGTCCGCATTCGTAGATTGCTGGTGCCATATGCTTTCATAAAGTACTATGACTCAGCCCCCTCCAAAGACATAGCTGCTAAGTGCACAACTCTCACTTGGGCTGACTCGTCTCAACGCTATAGTGTGATTGCAGTAACCAGTATCCTACGGGCGGTAGAGCTGGTTCGGACTGTGCCATGCGAGGACGTGTGGCTAGTTAATAAGTTCATGTTCTAAACTAGTAACCTGTAGGATAATAATGGATATTCCATTTTGTCACTTCAAACCATAGTGATTGACCTATTGAAACTTAATGCAATACACACATAGACAAAGTCGTATCGCTTTGCGTACAACACAATTCTACAATTTATACAAGTCGTCACGTTTGCTGCATGATCACAACCAACAAATCCTTTAGGGCCTAGTAAGGGCTTCATCTGTTGAACAAGAATGAATGAACTAGCAGTGAAATGAGTACAAGTAGGAAACCCTAGAATTGTGTACCCCCTATAGGCTAACCCACTGTAGCCTAAGTAACTACAACACATATATATATAATGTTTGACACACCCCCATAGGCGAAATGGGGGAGAACTAGGGGTCACAAGACCAGTCAAGTAAAGCAAAGCAAAGCAAGCTCAGGGTGGATCACAAAGTCACCACACATTCCGAGCACAAGTTCAAGGCCACAAGGCCAGTTCACATGTAGAAGTACATATATATATAAGGCTAGACAAGCAAGAGCAGCAATATATATATGTAACAGTACAAAGAGGGTCAAGAGGAGAGCAAGTGAGGCAAGACAGGCACAAGACCCAGCTGGGTACAGAAGCGCTGATGATCACAAGGCGGAAGTGCCTTGGTGAAGACATCAGCAGTGTTGGCCTCAGAGGCCACGTACGCAAGCCGCAACTGACCACGCTGCTGTAGCTCACGAGCAAGGAAGTAGCGGAGAGCAATGTGCTTTGTTTTGTGCTCCAGTCTCTGCTCTCGACACAAGGCCAGCATGGCCTTGTTGTCTACGTACAGGACTGGAGGAGAAAGAGGCGGCTCTCCAAGGTCGGTCAGCAGGTAAGTGAGCCAGCGAAGCTCCTAGTCAGCCATGGCCCATGCGTAGATCTCAGCCTCACAACAGGAGCCGAGAACAAAAGACGAGCGAGTAGCCCGCCACGAAACAGAGCCGGAACCAAGGCTGAAGGTGTAACCCAGTGACGACCGCTGAGTAGCCTGGTCGTCAGCCCGAGAAGCGTCTGCGTGACCAGTGAGGACCACTGGACTCCGCCCTCCAAGCACTAGCCCCATGCCCGACGTACTGCACAAGTAGCGCAACACCCTCTTCGCTGCAGCCATTTGCTCTGGTCGGTGTCTCCCAGGAGCAACATAGCGTGCAAGAATGCTAAGAGGGTATGCAAGGTCAGGTCGTGTGCAGGTCATCAGGTACATGAAGCAGCCAACAAGCTCTGGGTATGGGCCACTCGACTCTACGGACTCATCCGAAGGCAGAGCTGAGATCGAGTGGCGAGTAGACAGAGGAGTGGCCTGAGGCGAGGAGTACGTGAAGCCGAAGCGCTGAAGGACCTGCTGCACCATGGGTGACTGAGTCAAGGTGATGGTGCGGCGTGCTCTGTCCCGGGTGATCTGCAAGCCAAGGTAGCTGCGCAGTTCACCCAGGTCTGTGCACGTGTGTCTCTTCTGCAGCTCGGACTTCACGTGAGCGAGTCCTGCAGTGTCAGCTGTGGCAAAGACCAAGTCGTCGACGTACACGAGGATGTAGAACGGCGGCAGAGAAGTGTCGGTGCGTAGAAACAGCGACGGGTCAGCAGTGGAGGGAGCAAACCCAAGAGCCGCAAGTGTAGTCCTCAGTGTGTCGTGCCACTCACGAGGTGCCTGGCGGAGACCGTCAACCGGCCGCCGAAGGCTCCACTGGGTGCCAGGAGGAAACGACCCAGAGAAGCCAAGAGGGCGACGCAGCCAGATCTCCTCGTGCAGGCTGCCCTGCAGGAAAGCAGTGCTGAAGTCAAGAGAGTGCAGCTCGTAGTCACGGTGAGCAGCAACGTGCAACAGTACCCGAAGAGTCGTCATTTCAGGGTGGGAGAGAAGGTCTGAAAGTAGTCAACTCCCTGCCGCTGACTGAAGCCACGAGCCACGTACCGTGCCTTGAAGACAGACGGAGAACCCGGCGGCCGCTTCACCCTGAAAATCCACATGCCACTGACAATGTTCGCCCCAGGAAAGGGGA